ATATTAGTTAATATTATTTTGAGAAAAATCTCAATACCAATAGCTCCCATTTTGAGAGAACTAGATTGTGGCAGAATCTGTTAAAGTAATGGTTTACAATGATATTGCAAATCTCCATTGCTTCTATATAGTGGACAGCATGTGGTGATGGTTACACTTTGGTTTCTAGCTTGAGCCCCTCTTTAAGTCTCCTATTATTGTGGTTCAGATTCCTTTTCATTGCTTGCATGTCTGATAGGTATATACCAATTTCATAGAGAAGCAAACATAAATGTGTTTTATACATGTGCGTGTATATGTGAACATACATATATAACACTCCAGACAAGCTGAGATTTCCACTCATAACTGATTTAGAAATTAAAGTTCTACTAAATTGAGAAGTAAAAGCCAGAGGTTATAAGAAAAATCTAGCCAAATAGCAAAGGGAGCTATAAAATTAACTGTGGAGCCAAAAAATCTAAATAAAGCAGATTCATCAAACAAACAAATCCAACACATTTTCACTGAGCATCTTTAAATTTATCTGTAAATGTTCACATTTCTTAAAAGTTAAGTGGTACACCAACTTATATTTATGAAAAATGACATCATAGGATAAATTTCTAATTCCCAAAAGTAATAATTCAAATTTAAAGATCTGCATATAAAAATAATAGAAGCAAGAGCTGCAATGAAATGAACAGAAAAAGCAAACATGGTGTTACAGGAAACATTAAAAGTGGGATAGACTAAGTATAATATATAAAAGACCCAAAATGAAGAAATTAGGCATAAATATTCCTAATGTGTTCAATATCTACTAAAACGAGCAATGCCATTCCAATTAATACTTGCCGCAAAAGTTGGCATAAATTAGCTACTTCTATTTTTTAAAAATGATGAACCAAGGAGAGATTTGTTACAATGTATTTTGTAACTTACCTATACTGTGCTATTAAATTTATCTTAGTAATGCTTCAGCCAAGGATTTGTGTTAAGAAGATTGAAATCTGTTAGAACAACAGTGAAAATGAAGCCTCACTAGACATTCAACATAAAGCTGACCCCTAAAGGCTCCTTGATGCACATCTGCAACCACAGTATTCACAATACGGTATGCTAAGCTAGCAACAGATTGGTTAAAAACAGTTTGGATTTTCAACTTCCATAAAGCAGGCAACATTTTTAGAAGCAATCATATTAAAATAAACGTGTCTTTCACAGTTACAGGATGAAATCTTAAACTGGACAGGCACCAATGCCCTGATTTGCTACTTTTTTCGTAAACCATATGACTTCCACATGCTGAGAATGTTTTATGCTTTAACCTGCAGTAAAAGCTTTACATCATTTTCATGCTCAGTGCTTAAAATGCAACAGAATCCCCAATGAATGCAAGGAATATATCTGGTTTACTTTTTAATGATTTCAACCAGACTACTAGTCAGAGGAAATTCAATGAAAGCTTTCCCAGTAACTTTGCATTTCCATAGAACAAACAAAAAGAAAATCTGAGGTAAGGGTGGGTGGAAGAGCAAATACTCTCATATTGTTTCAACTCTCAGCAAACATTTCAGTTTTTATTTCTAAAACAATTACTTAACATTTTAATACTCTATGTCTAACAGAATATCTTTCAGCAAATAAATAAATAAATAAAATCACTCTATTATGTGGTGATTTAGGATTTTCTCCAGTTTTTACAAAGTAATGTTTCAGGTTAAGATAAAAGGTTAAAACAAAAAAAAATTCTGGAAATCCTAGTCTATAACAAACTAAAGGCTCAGCTTTGTATCAACATATTCTGTATTCTAAACTCGAGATTTAGAAGACACATCAATTTTGTTTCTATTCAGGTCAATCTAAATATATACGCTACCTCATGCATACAGTCAGCTTATCTGTGTGAATGACCAACTGCAGGAATTTCAAATAGAAGGTTATAAAATTACATACTGTTATCTATGTGACTTTCAGTTTTATAGAATCTAAGGTCCTTTACTGATAGGTTCAAGAATTGGTAAGTTTGCAGCCAAATATGTAAATACACTAAATTCTCAACAGTCTAAAGAGAAATTATGCCAATTCCTTTAGTTATTTAAAAGTCTGTCACACTAAAAATATGCCACATGAGAAAGCTTATTGATAAACTTATATTTCATACTGAGGGAGTACAAAATATATGATCTTAAGTTCTCCTGGTGTGATGTTATTAAAGACTGTGAGAAACAAGATGTAGCAATCCCCTTCCCTTTATAACTCTAATTGAAACTTGGGGCGGGGGGGAATCAGAATTCCAATTTTCCAAACTTGACTTATATACATATAATTCAGCTAGATCTAACAACTTAGTTGTACAGTTTTAAAATAAGTTTAATGCAAAGCACTGTAACCTTGATGTGACAATTACCTGTGGCTAAATGCAAAATAAAAAACAAATGCAGGTCGTTTTCATGGGAAGACGTACTTTACACACAAAACCACAAAAAGCACAACCTTATTACACAAACTAAGTAAACAGGCACAGGAGGCATTAGGTCCATCCAGGAAAAGTACCATGCCAAGAAAGAAAGGAAGGACGACGGGCTGAAGGAAGGAAGGAAGAAGGGAAGGGAGGAAGGAAGGAAGGTGGGAGGGAGGGAGGGAAGGCAGGCAGAGGTCTTTAGAGCTGCAGGATCCCAAAGAAATGAACTAGTCACATCACTCCACCCTATATGAAACACGAGGGTTTCTAAAGCTTCAGGGTAAATTTATAAAGCAATCCCATCACACCATTCAACTTTACATAGTATCTTTAACGCCAACTGCATCCTCCCTTCCACTCACCCAATGCCTCCTCCATCGTCCGTACACCGGCTTTCAGACGAATGCGAGACACAACAGGGTGGGGTAGACGAAAAATACAAACAGCGCCTTTCAGCTACTCCCCGCGCCTCCAAAGAATTTCCAACAGTTTTTCCTACCACGGAAATAAGTCGCCCTATCTCAAGATACACAAGTCATTCTGTGTCTCTAGCAGCCAGAGATGCAGCATACACACACGCCGGCACTCCCGACCCCACGCCCCCGAATCTTAAGTAACGTTTAATGTGTTTAGCACGAGGACGCTGAGATACCCCTACCTGCGGTTTCGGGGTGAGGGTGGGCGGAGGACTCCTTTCCAAGTAGCCCCAATAGTGTAACCAAAACACGGTTCCGGAACAAAATATTCAGAACACTTTTCCTTTCCCACCTTATCTATCGACTTAAGGATGCAGAAATCCCTCTCCACACACACAGACAGACACGCGCACACGCGCACACGCACACACACACTCCCCGGCACAGTTCTCCCGCCCGGAGTTTGGGGTGGAGATGAGTCCCCGGGAGCGGGCGGGGGCGGGGAGGACGGGCCACGGGACGCGGGCGAGTTGCTAAGCCCGGCGACCCCGCAGCACGGCGCCAGCCCGAAGGTCCGGGGCGCGGACCGCACGCACGCCGCTCTGCCCAGGCCCAGTTCACAGCTACGGCTCCAGCTACCTAAACTTCCTACCGCTAGACCTTTATTCGAGACTAACACATTACACGAGTACACGTCACACAGTTTAAAACACAGTTACACGCCCCAAGCAAACCCACACGCCTCCAATTCACCTTACAGTTTCCCAAACTCCAAACGGGAGACCCCACCTCCAGGATTCAAACCTTCCGCCCATAGTGGAGGAGACGAGGAGAAAAGGAGTTGGGGAGCAGCCGACGCCTTTCAATGACCGCCCCCCACAAACTGCCCCACCCCATACCCTGTGTCCCGGTCACCCACTCGGAAGCTCCCCGCTTTCCTCCCTCGTCTCAATCGGGCCGTTTAAGAGACCCATCCCCAGCCCCACTCACTTTCTCCCCAAAACCCCGCAAAAAAAAAAAAAA